ATAATAATTTATGAAACATTGAGAATAAAAATTTTTTATTTCATTATTCATTTATCTGAAATCCTGTCTTCAGTAAAAACCATGACGGCAAATTGATAGTTCTAATAAACTTTTTGTAACTTTTAGAAATGAATGTTTTGTTTTTGAGAAAATTTAATTTGCCTCCATTTCGAATGATATACAAAAGGCAGAGGAACTTTCAATACTGTTTAATATTTAGTATAATCTGATATAAACCAATTTGCAATGCAACGTTTCGTTCATTGGATTTCATCATCAACTTCATTTTTTTAAATACGGACCTCTAGTTTTTTCCATTGATTTTTGTAGCCACTATAACAACAAATTCAGCTATGTATTACAATACAATAAAGTTGATGAAATCTAATGAACGAAACGTTGCATCACAAACTGGCTTATATCAAAATATAACAAATATGAAACAGTATTGAAAGTTCCTCTGCCTTTTTTTATATCATTCGAAATGCAATTAATGCGAATTAAATTTTCCCAACTCTCTTTCATAAATTCAATAAACTCTTGTTTGAAAGTCGTTGACAATGTTTCGTGCTGCATTTCATTAGTTTGGACTTCCATTGTCTAATATGATATACATTGATTTGAAATACCTGAAAGAATCTATATAAATTAAAAAGATTGGCTAAAAAATAACAATTATATTAAGCAAAATAACTGAAATTACAATGAAATAAAGTACAAGCAATTATTAAAAATTGAACTATTAACAAGAACTGAGAATTAAAAATTGAAAGATTCCAAGCTAAGTTACTTCACCCACGTTTCGATTGTTAGTATCCAGTCAGTCATTACCTGAAGATGGTTGTGGATACTAACAATCGAAACGTCGAGAAATAACTTGGCTTGGAATCTTTTAATTTTTAATGTTCATTCTTGTTAATAATTATTAATTTTCATTAATTTTCATTTCTAGTTAATAGTCCAATTTTTAATTGCTTGTATTTTATTTCANTCCTACTCCATATTTATATAAAAAATCCAAAATATTTTTTTCATTAAAGGTCTCTCATGTTCAATGGCCATCCATATAAAATTTGAGTATTACATTCAATGATTAAAAAAAAAGGTAGTTAATTTGATAATATTCTTATGAATTAGCTAATATGCTATTGAAATATCATTCCAAAAAACGTTTGCTGGACGGCCCACATTTTGTAACAACACTTTTAAATGGTGCTTATTTTTTTTAACATATATCTAAATGATTTTATTCATTTCTATATTTTTCATAGTCAGGAAATATTGGATTGGATGACAGCCTCAGCAAACTCCTTCCTGGAGAAAAACCACGCCAAAAAAAAGATTTTGGCACGACCTCCTACAAGAAACCAGGTCCTCCGACACCGAGCAAAAATGGCGGCCGTTTATCACTTCAGGGAAATGAGGTTCAACCTTTACGTGAACACAATGACAGGACTTCTCCAAAAAAAACTACTCCAAGTAGAATCAAAGCATTATTCATGGGTCGAACTAGTCTAAGGGAAAATTCCGAGGTACACTTAAATGATTGCTTTTTGCATATGATCGAATGCTGTAGACTAGTGGATGAGAATCACCGCCCTGTTCCTCTTTGTACTGATTCTTGCTACAATGCCACCTTTAGAAAATCGCTCTTCTATTTGCAAACTCTTTCTAAACCTTGCTGCAGTTCCAAACGTGAAAATAGGAGTGATTGTTGTTTTAGAGCTTTTGTTCTTGGTAGGATGTGGGTGTGTGCTAAGAAACTTTGCATTCTGGTGGTATTTTCTTTTGTGGCATTCAAATACTGTTGTCATGTCTTGAAGTCAAAGTAGTGAGACATGTTTTGTTAGAATTTGGTAAGCTAAATGTAAAAACTTTTCTTAATTAATCGCATGATACATCCTAACATTTCCACTAACTTATTTCTCAATTATTTAATTTGAAAGGAGTCTATTTTGAGGAAAGTTGAATTTTTTTGGAAAAAAAAGGTTTTGGCTTTCTACTTCTCCATCTTTATACAAAATTATGTGTGGGAATCTTCGAAAAAAAGGAAGAAAGCAATTAATTTCCAAATATTTTTTTACAAAGATGTAAATCATTCAAAGAAGTAACTTTCAGACAAAAACTGGAAGAAAAAGCCCTCTTGAAACAACTAATTTCATATAAACATTGAATTACACAAAAGAAAAAATATTTTCTAAACAACTACTTTTATTTGAAAAATGAATTATACGAAAATAACTTTTTTCTATTCAGTTTGTACTCCAAATATTCGCTATGGAATTGAATCAGATATCGTTCATAAGTATGCTACACAATATAGTATATGAAAGAGATGAAATTCCATTTACATGGTACACTGTCATCCTCAATGGTGGACATCTGGAATAAGACACTTGTGTTATTGCCTCTTCACCAATCTGCATAATATTACAAGATGAAGCACTCAGTTCATTCATAAAATTATGACTTTATGTCACGAATTAATCAAATCTGCTCGTGTTATCAATGACGGTACTTAATGACATTTATTCGCTTATTTAATTTAATCCCAGCCATAGGAATCTTGTTTGAATATTTTCAACAACGAATAATTCTTTATATTTGCTTTACTGGCATAATTGAAAAACTTCAAATGTTGACATTTTTTATTGATAATTAACTGTTGATAAAATGTAAATAAAACCATACATGCTATTCATCTAAAAATTATGTATATTACTTCTGTTGCATAGTAATTATTAGTTTGATTTATTTTGAAACAGATTTCTTTTCCAATTCCAAGGTTGTATTGGGCTTTAGTAGCATATTTATAACTATTGATTTTACCTAGGAATTTGGAAAGAATAAGAATATTGTTAATATTACGAATCACCTGTTGAAATGTATTCGATATACTCTGAAATTTAATTTTGCATAGTTGATACAAAATTCAATTTCCACCAAAAAGCAGGAGAGGTGAATTCTCACAAGTAGTATTTGAAGTATTTTCTGTGGTTTGTAGACATATGTTTCATCTTCACTGGCTTATATATCGGCCAAAAACATTTTTTTTATCACTAACATTAATTTTCTTGGAATTAGGTGCTTGCTTTGAAACACTTTTAGAGTAATCGTTTGTCTAGAAACATTGATGAATATGTAGTTTTTTTGATTTTTTTTATATGTGCTTCACTTGAATAGAAAGAAGTCAATATTACTTTTTAATTTTAAATCATTTTTTACTTCACAAAAAATATGTATGTATTATTTTTACAGAACCATTCCACTCCAAAGACCAATAAGCGACTGAGTATTTTCCGAAAGCAAAAGTAATGGAAATGCAACTTGCCAGTTATTTAATAAAATGTATTAATTCTTCTTATTTATTTATGTAATTTATGTTTTAACTGTGTTGACGAAAATTGTTTGTACAAAAACAAATAAAAATTATTTCAGTTTTCTAAATTTGTAATGATGTGTACAGATAAATAAATAGATATTTCTTAATATGGTAATTGCTTCATTTTTGTTCATCATAACTACTTTTATTAATCTATTTTTATTTGGTATAACTTTTCCAACTCTAAATATTGTAATGTTGTCAAGATTAACATTGACACTGACTTTCTTTAGTATTTCCTTAACTACATTATTTGCATCTTCTTCTTTTCTTTGCAAAGGGGTTGTTACTTGCGCCTCTCTAACATTAGCTACCATGATATTAGCTTCTCTTCTTTGGCGTTCTAGTAGTTCCATAATGATACTTTCAGTTGGAGTAGTTTCAATGTTCCCTGCACATTGTAAGATTGCATACAATTCAGCCCGGAAGACTGACCGACTGGGTAAATGAAATGAACATTTCTCCCAACTCAGTAAATTCCATCCCATGTTCGATCTAGGACTCCACAGTATACTAGATGTTTCTGCTGAGCATGCTGTCGCTATGACTGTGGTGTCATGTGATCTGAGAAGATGTTTGATGTTCGTTCTTCCACATATTTGAAAATTTCTCTTTCTCCCAATTGCATGTAACTTGGTGAATTTTCCATTCTGAACTGGTCCAATCTCGCTAGGAGTTAGATTCCAGAATACCTTCAATAATGCTGTTGGAGTGGTTTTCATTGCTTCCGTTATTCTCCAACAAGTCGATTTTCGATTGAAGGGGGACATGTTTTTGTAACTCAACTGATATACCTCCTTTCTCGCCCTTTGGTGACCATCACCCTTAAAATAAGAATAGGGAAATTGCTAAGTTTGACATCATTAAAATGGTAGTTTTATAAGAAATTTATCCATGTCAGTCCATGTCACTGCATAAGTCATGAAAAATATAACAAAAATTAAAAAAAAAAGATGTACATTGTATCAATCTAAAAAATGGAAAACCGCAAATAATACACATCAATGGTTTCGGTTGTTTGAAGGTGGTTGACAATGTTTCGTGGTGCATTTCATTAGTTCGGATTTCCATTGTCTAATATGATATAAATTGATTTGAAATCCCCGAAAGAATCTGTAACAAAATTGAAAAAAGATTA